CAGCCGTGCCCGGGCGCCGGCTCCAGGCGTCAGGCCCGCGGCGCCGCAAGCCCCAGGCTGCCCGGCCAGACAAGCGGCCAGCGGAGCGGCCCCAGGAGCGCGGTGACGAGGCGGCGGGCTCGGACCAGGCCTCCGACCTGGACAGCGTCGAGTGGCGCGCCATCCAAGAGGGCGCCAACTCCATCGTCACGTGGCTGCACCAGGCGGCGGCCGCGGCCACCCACGAGGCCTCATCTGGCTCGGACTCCATCCTGTCGGAATCCGGGCTGTCAGGCTCCACCCTGCAGCCGCCGGTGCACAGGAAGGGACAGCGGCTGCAGGCGGGCGGTGCCGCGAGGCCGAGGCCGGAGAAGCGGGACTCAACCCTGGCCCAGCACGGCCCCAGTGGCCCCGAGAAGCTGCGTGGTGCTCAGAAGATGGCGTGCAGGGTGCCGGCCGTGCTCCGGGGACGGACCGTGATCTATGTGCCCAGCCCGGCCCCCCGGGCACAGCCCAGAGGCAACCCCGGCACCCGTGTGGCACCGAGGAAGGTGGGAGCCCCTGCGCAGCCCGCAGCGCCGGCCAAAGCCCCCAGCCCCGGGCAGCAGCAGCAGCAGCAGCAGCAGCGGTCTCGAAGCCTACACCGGCCGGGCAAGATCTCGGAACTGGCGGCACTGAGCCCCCCCCAGCGGAGCGCCACGCCGCCCGCCCGCCTGGCCAAGGCCCCCTCGTCCGGCTCCTCCCCGGCCTCCCCGGCCTCCCAGCCCCCGCCCAGGAGGCCGCCCTCGGGCCCCCAGGCTGCGGGGCCCCTACCTGGTCCCGGGGCGTCTCTGGCGCCCCAGACGCCCGCGCGGGCCCTACTGTCCAAGCAGCACAAGACGCAGAAGTCACCCGTGCGGATCCCCTTCATGCAGAGGCCCGCCAGGCGGGGGCCGCCAGCCCTGGCCCGGGCAGCCCCGGAGCCGGGCCCCAGGGGCCGGGCAGGAGCCGAGGGAAGCCCGGGCGCCCGAGCGGGCCGCCTGGGCCTGGTGCGCGTGGCCTCCGCCCGCTCCAGTGGCAGCGAGTCCTCCGACCGCTCGGGTTTCCGGCGGCAGCTGACCTTCGTCAAGGAGTCCGCGGGCCTGCCGCGCCGCCGCCGCTCAGAGGTGGCCGCGCCCGAGGCCGCGCCCTCCGCCTCCCAGGGCGGCTCCCCCCGGCGCGGTCGGCCCGCCCTGCCCGCGGTCTTCCTGTGCTCCTCGCGCTGCGACGAGCTGCGGGCGGCCCCCC